GGAAGAGAATTGAGTTTGGAAGAAATTTTACAGAACTGCCTCTTGATCAAGCTTTATGGCCTTGCATGTGGTTTAATGGGGGAAGGGTAGGGGGGCAGGGAAACAGAAGGAAAAAAGTGGGTTATTGGAGATCTTTGTTCTAACAAGCATGTCTTCCTTGAATGTTTTCCTAGCGCTTATGCTTTCTTGGGTATTCTTAGCTAGTCCTTTTCTGGATGTTTTGCTCAAGTATTGGAGTATGATCTTTAATTAACTGTGACAGCAGCTTCTTAATTGCAACAAACCAAGGATCAGAAGCCCTGCTGGATTAGCACCAGGTGCATGCAAAATAAGTGTGGGATACAAGGCTCCAATGCTGCAAAGACTTTATCATGTTTAACTTGCTTTAGGCTCATCAAAAGACAATGGGAGTGTCACAGAGCAGAAGATTAAGGTTGTGTATATACTTCTGCAGAGTTAGGACCTTGGGAAAGAATTGAAATGTTGTTTGTTGTCTGTTGAACTGATTGAATAGTGAACTAGCCTTCACTTTTAGTTTTAATTAATGTCAGTAATTTTAATTAAATTCCTTTATATCAGCTAAAAAAAACAGTTCAAAACAAAGGTTATGTTTCTCCTGAGAGTATTTTCTCAGTTGTGATATAAATTTCACTAATTTTAACACTATAAAACTAGTTCAAAAAATTTTCATTTTCACTGTTTGCTTTGCATATAAGATCAGTCTCTAACGTTGATCTTCACTTCCTTGTTGTCTAAAAGGGTTCTTTTATGTAAGAATGGATTGGATACTATGTGTTATTTGTTGAGATTGTTGGCACTATCACTTTAAGTCTACATTTGTTGTCTTTGTTGCAATGTAACTGATATTTCTATTGATGCATGTACTTCATCAGGAGAGCAAAATGATGCAACAGGACAGAAGCAGATGGGCTAAAACTTGTGGGGCAATCTGGCACTGTTCTGAGTAGAGATGCTTGTTTTAAGAATACTACTGGCAATCCTAGATGTCCTCTTAACTGTGTTGGGAAGTGTTTTCTTGTTGGATTTTCCACAGAATATTTTTTAAAAGCTGCTCTTTTTTTTTTCTTGAAGTTCAGGGGGCAAAAAACCTAATTTATGAATTCCTGATAAAATTCTATATGCAACTTTATGGGATTTTGAGGCAGCAATATGCTTATTCTTTTGAAATTGCTGTCTCTAGTGACGAGAAACGGCTGGAAGTTGTAACTTTTTAACAGTGCAGAATTCAGCCGTGGGAAGTAGAAAGTAACAGATGCCTGGCAATTGCTATTTCTGGATAAGGGGTCCAAGCTTACCTTTTATGAAGAGATAGAGCTTTAGTCAATAGCTATTAGTGGGAAGATTTTTCTGTATTAAGCATGTCTGCTGTTTTCCCTAACAAACTTGGAAGAGGATGTATCAACTGAAAATGAGGGAAATGTCTTAAAAAGGAGATACTTTTTCATGTGGCCTGTAATGACATGTGCTGCTCTTGTCATAGGATCTTGTGGCTGTTACAAGTTCAGATAGTTTTAATACATGATTAAATAAATTCATGAAAAAGAAAAAAAAGCCTTTAAAAAACTATGAAATACAAAGGCACAGCTTCTGCCTCTGGAGTCCTGCATCACAATTTGTTGAAAATGAGGATCAGCAGGGAAAGTGTCACCATATACCTATCTTGGCTTTTCTTCTGTTACTTGGCCCCTGAAAAATGCCACTGTCCAGGGCTGTGTGAATCTTGACTGTGGCATAAAGCAATTCTTCTGCATGATTCTTAAATGTGTGAAATGCCTAAATTTGAAATCAGTTCTATGTGGTGCAGACTAACACTGAAGAGCATTACAAGAGAATCATCTAAATTGCTTCCTG